CCTCATTTTGAAAAGGAAGAGTAATATTGTTTATTTTTATGATTACTTCAGAAGCAAGACGCTTAACATCCACCGGCCAACCAAAAAACATTACAGAAGATTTTTTTTGGGTTTAAAAGCAAACCGTGATCTCTGGAAATTCTGTCAATTGGTTCAAGGACACTGTTGATATTTTGGCACTCAAGCTGCAACCTAGAGGGATCAAAAACATGGTAGAGCTGCTTGTCATAGCATATGATTGTCCTTTGCAATGTTTGAGAAAATCTAAGAATTTTCTTGTGAAAATAATAAACAGAACAGGAGCTAAAATTGAGCCTTGGTGAACTCCACTTCTTATGTCTAGGCAAGCAGACTCGACCCCGTTCAGGACCACCTTTTACTTTCTCCCTGTTAAGTAGTTTTTAATTAAATTTAAAATTAAACCTAAGTATTTAAGAATAGTGAGTAGAATATTGTGACTAATGGTATAAAAAGCCTTAGAATAATCGAGTAGAACCAACACAGCGCACTTACCTTCATCAATTCCTCTGATGATGTCATCTGTCACATTAAGAAGCACTGTAGCACAACTGTGCCCCCTCCTAAAACCGGCTTGTGTTTTGTCAATTAGTTTCTCCTTTTCAACATAATTTGTTATTTGGCGTTCCATAACCTTGGATAATATTGGCAGAATGGAAATGGGCCTTAAGTCGCTAAACGACTGCGGGTTGTCAATCTTATGAAGAGGGACAATATTAGCAACTTTCCAAAGAGAGGGAGAAACAGAATGGGTGATGCAAAAATTTACAAGATGACATATGTACTTTAATATAAAAAGGCAACAAAAAATTATAAAGTTGGTATGGATTCCGTCAAATAGGAAACATAAAGCCAAACATTTCTCAACATCTTCGACCCATCAAAGAAAGAATTCCGTTTTGAGATACCAGAAGTTTACAGCATTTTATGCATATGGGGCAAAGAATACATTAGAGGGACTGGACGAAAAAGTTAAAAAAATAATTAATTAATTAATCCAGAAGATTGGTAAATTGCATTACAGTAGCCTGTAGGAATATCCTTAAAAAAAAGTCTACCATCCCTTACAGCGCATTTTCAAATGAAACTCTCTTTTTGGTTCGCTACCCCATTCCATCGTCCATATTATCATCAACCCACGGTCTAGAGATAACAAATAATCACTGTAATACCGCTAATGGCAAAGCGCCAACGGTTTGCAAACGTCTGAGGTGCCACTACTAAAATATAAACATCTTCCTTTAATGATAAATGCTTGTAAATCGAATTTTTATTGGTTTATTAAGGGTAAAGGGTCTTCGGTTTATGATAGGACAGACAAGTCATGACCATTTATCATGTGATGGATTATAACCATGTAATTAAGTGCTAATGGGGTTTGCCTGACATTTTTAGGTTGGTTAGTTACTTGGTTGATGATAAAATTCGTCGTCGAAGAACCAGTCCGTCACTGCAATGGGTCCGAATCGCTTTTTCCAAACGCCAAATAAAAATTAATGTGTCGCTAGGTCGACAAAGTGAATTTAAAGTCAATTTCGACAGAATGCGGGGGTGTGATGGGGGGGACGCACGGGACGGGCGGAATCTCGAAAACGGAAATTGAGATAGTTGCCCGCGCGAATCGCAATGAATTGACTGATATATCAATCAGCAGTTTTCATTTCCTCTTGTTTTTCACTTCCTTGCGTCTGATTTCGTTTCGCGAGCCGATCAAGTGGGTTAACGGACTAAAATGTTGACGCGCGTGTGTATTGATGGATTGGAGAGGGATTTACGTGGGGAAAAATTAATATTTCCGTTGGGACGCGACTTCTCTGGATTTGCGATTCGATTGTAATCCGCTTAAAATCTAAAAACGTATAACGCATGGCCGGGCGAAGCCTCAGGTCCAGTTTTAGTTGTCGACCGGTCAGGAATGTTTTTCAGGAATGCAAATCTCAATGTGTTACATTATTTTTTTAAATAGAATAAGAAAAAATATAAGAAAAATTGATATAATTCATATAATATCATATATTATTTCTTTTAGAAAAAAAAAAAAGATTGATACAAAAGTTATGTATAAGTTTAAAAGACAAAATTTAACATTTTTTTTCAAATGTGGTGATTCATAGATATGTGGAAATCACTTTTTTTTTTAATAGTCGACGTATATATTATGGCATTAGTAAAAACTCTGTTTTATACAACAGTGTATGGTTGTGTATGTATTTTCCGTCAACAACACGTTTAACACTTCCGTTTAACATTTCCGACAGCTCTAATTTTATTATGCCACCAATTTTATGAAGTGATTTTTTTATTTTGTGAAAAAAATGTTTGTTAATGTTAATTTAAGACCTTTTAAGACAGAGGTTGCAAAATATGTTAAGAAATATTCCAGACTAAGTGAAGCAGAGATTTTGGTTCCTTTCTAAGAGTTCTGCGAATTGTATTTTGCGATAACATAAATTGCATCTCTATCAAGTACTGCTTCATAATGAACTCAATGAAAATCATTATCAAATTAAATCAACGTTTTGTGAATGGGCACAAGAAAGAATTTTTTGAGCAAGATGATTTTCTCGAATATGTTTTATTTATGAATGCATCTACATCTCATAAACACGGTTGTGTTGAGCGAGTAGAGAGAGTGAGCTTGGAGTTTTGTCTTGAACTGAACCGTCAAAAAACGAAATAAATATCACCCATACCATTGAAGAAATAACCGAAAAACTTGTGGTAAAACGAAAAAACGAAAAGTAGAAGGAACACTACCGAGAGGACGCTGGAGTGCTATGATAGGAAATAACGTTGTAGAGCCTCATTTTTTTGAAAATACAGTGAATGGGCAAGTTTACAACAAATGTCAAGAACTATTCGAAAACGAAGTGAAGCAGAGGTTGTGGTTCCTTCATGATGGAGCTTCTGCACACCATGCTCATCAACTTACGAACTACTTAAATAATTAATTTACTCAACGGCAGATAGGAAGGCGTGATCCGACTAGATGGCGACCTAGATCTGCTGATCTAACAAAGAAGGACTATTTTCTGTGGAGTTATATTAAAGACCAGGCCTATAAAACTGCCCCCACAACAAAAGAAGACTTGAAACAGAGTATAAGAAAAGCCTTTCGTCGTGTTAGTCATGAAACGCTAGTGAATCGTTTAAAGACGTCTATCGAAGTCGGTGGGAGACACTTAATTAAATAGTTTTTTGCAGTTTGCTTCCTAGTATTTAAGTGTTTTTCTTGGACTGTTAGCAATATTAATATTGCATTTTTAATAATATATCACTAACGTAAAATACTGCTTAAATTGTGTTCCATCGGAAAAAAATAATTTTCAACATACAATTTTGAATTGTTTCTGTTAGACTCATCTATAACTTTTTCTCTAATACAAATAATAAACGAGATATATTACTTTCAGATACAATTTGGACACCCTGTATTGGTATTCAAGATTTTATACGCGTTCTAACTAAAGGCATAGTATAAGTATGTATATGCATACCATTTACATAACTGAGATATTCATATTTAGAAATTTCGAATATTTAATATATAATTCTACACTCAAAAATCACGAAAAATAACGAAAATTCATATATTCCTTTTGCAAATATTATTAGTCAGTCTAACATCTATACTGCAAGAATATCATAATATTAAAACGTCCTATAAACTTAAATATTTTAAGCTGATGTCGATACCGTAGAATTGCAGCACCCTGAATAATCACAAAAGACATAATTTAAAAAAATCCTTAATTACATAGCATTTGTTTTTAAATTCTCTTGATAACTATTATAGGTTGTAAGAAAAGTATATGTGAGACACCCTGTACACTGTTTTTCAAATTGCTCTCAATCACTGAGAGCAAACCACTTTGTATTGCTGAATACACAATTTGTTTTTGCACCATTTATTAAAACCGATTCGTGAAACTAAAATCCTACAAAAAGGACCTTGAAATACTTCTAAACCCCTCTCAATCTGTCAGAAGAAAAACCCAGTTTCTAGTTTGTATTAGGAAAAATGAGTTTATATGAGAGCAAGGTGCAAAAACTAAGCAAAGCCAATTTTTACGTTTGACTCAGAACTAACTCTGTTTTCGTCCAGTTTTTGTTAGTGCTTGTTGCTTGTCTAGTACCTTGCAAACTGACTTGGTCTAGGACAAAGTACATTTAGCCTGAAGTCGGGTTTGGTTGATAACATATACGTGTGCAGAAGACGAAGAAGAAATGCAGACCTCCGCCCTAGTCCGTAACATATTAGAAAGAAAGTTTGTTCTGATCGATAAAGTGCCTCTTAGATTTTCCTACCTTAATTTTAAATTGCGTACTATATCGGGCATCTATGGAAAATTTGAAGGAATATTTAACAACTACTTAACACTTTGTGTATACCCTTATAATGTACGAAATATTAAGAAACCAATTTCGAAGTTCAGATTAGCTTGCGAATTATTATTAAAATATAATTAGTCGACAATTTATCTCTTCGTAGTGCCTCAAAGTAAAGTTTATAAATACTCCTTTTGTGAAAATTTTGCATTTTTAATTACTATTAATAATAATAACACCAGAACTACGAATTTGTACAGGAATAACCAAAATACATGATTGGTAAAACGGTCACATAAGAAAACATAAAGATAGAAGGCTTTTTTGGTTTCAGAATCTAATTTTTTATTTTTCTTCCGGAGCTCTGTATAAACCCCATTCAATTCTGAATTGCACAGATTTTTCGGCATCGGCATTGAACCTGTAGGACAGGCAACCAACCTACATTAGCTCTATAACATACAAACCGCAAGCGAATTTTGTAATGCACACCCCCTAAGTAAATAATTCAATTGCGATAATGGAGGCTAATGCAAAACAACTCGGGCGACCTACGTATCATAGACGGTCAATATCCAGTCTGCACTTGTTCATTTAACTCAAACGATATCGACCTGGCGACAGTTAATTCATTCACGTTTACTTTTTTACAGTGCTCAGGGACGAATTCCGTTTGGAACCGCAAAGCGGAAGGGTCGCTGCTGGTGAAGACATCGTCATGGAGTGCTCTCCGCCAAGAGGAACTCCGGAGCCTCAGGTGTTTTGGAGGAAAGACGGCCAAACGATAGAAATCGGCGGACGTCTGAAGCTGGTGGACGGTTACAACTTGGCAATAACCGACACCAAACCATCCGACGACGGCAGGTACCAATGCGTGGCGAAGAATACGGCGGGAATTCGGGAATCAGCGGTCGCTATTCTTAAAGTTTACGGTAAGTTATTATTAAAATTATTACAATATTATCATAGATCGATGGGTAGGTAGATAGATACCATTATTTTGCATATTTTTGGAGTTATAGGGACTAACCTAACAGAAAAACAAGGTTTTTTGCTTCTGTCAGGCAACCACCATTCCAAAAATCTCTTAAAATTTTCGATAAGTCAAAGACAAAATTCCGTTTGAGAGAGTTTAGAGCATTCCATCCATATGCATGAGCAAAGAGTACTTGTGGAAGTTTCTTTGACAAAATAACTATAATGTAATAAAAACCAATTCTGGAAAAATCTTTATTTTGAAGACACTGTTCATCCATCCACGTCCCTTTGAGAATATAGCACGAAAATCTTCTCGCTTTGGTTCACCTGAGAGTTTATAATCTCAAAGCAATTAGATTCATACAATGTTAACACCAGATTCAGAACTTGTTCAAAAAATCTCTCTACATCTTTGATCTTTAAAGGCAAAATTTCACTTGAAACAGAAAGAGTTTAGGTACATATAAACTCATAAGCATTTACCGCATATAATCATGATAGCGGACGTCAATTCTTATTCGACAAAACTGCATGCATGCAGTCAATACTTCTACCAAAGAAAACCCCAGAGCAAACCATACATACGAGGCAATGTGCATGTCCCTCCTTTAGCTTTCTCAAACAGTACATAAGCATTTAGAGAGGGGAATGCATACCAGTTCCAATTAAGCTCTAAATTATTTAAAAAATAAATAAATTTTGAACGCTCTGGACTTCCAAAACCGATAAAATCTTAATATTTTGGTGTCGAGATTTCCAGTTCAGATATTGCGCAATCTTTATCAACCGTTTATTTGAGTCTTCCTTTTTTTTGTTTTCTGAATTTTCGCAAGTACTTCAGATTCTGTCTCTTCTTGTTACATCTTTCCTTATCCTCAAGTACTTCGTTTCAGTGACCTGAATTTTACTTTTTTGTCCTTTTGACATGTATATATGGAATATATAGAATACTTTCCGTATTTTCAATTTGTACTCCAAGGTAACTAAATTTTTCTACTGGTATCAGGCATATTACCATCAATGTTAATATTTAATATTTTGCTCTTTTGTTGTCATTACTTTGGTTAGTTTTGTTGGTGTTGATGTTCATGTTATTTTCCTTAGACATTTTATTTCATATGTCCACATTATGTTGGACTGCTGCAGCTATTTCGATCTTCCGTTAGCTCTTATATCCTACCATCATTTTTTGTACCCTTCTTATTGATATTATCCGTGAATAATGTCGGGCTTAATGCACTACGTTGTCTTAATCCCACTTGAGCTGTCATTCCTTCTGACGGCATACTATTCTTTGACTTAGTTCATATAGCCTCCTCATTGTTCTTATTATGATATCGTTTACTCCTTTCTCTTTTAGACCGTCACAAATAACTTATTTTTATTTGCAGTTAAGCCTTTCGTCATACGTCCTCCGGAAGACATAACCGCTCTGGTAGGCAGTACCGTTGATTTTCCTTGCATGGTGGGCGGCGATCCTGTGCCAGACGTGCTGTGGCGCAGAAGCTCTCCAGGGGGAACGATGCCTCTCGGTAGAGTACGAGTATTAGAAGATCGTACCCTACGCCTAGAACAGCTGACGTTGCTAGACCAAGGACGCTACACTTGCGATGCCGATAACTTTGCTGGTGCTATATCCGCGTCTGCGGTTTTAACCGTGCTGGCTCCACCTAGTTTCATAACCAGACCTCTCGCTCAAACCATTGAAGCCGGCCAGGAAGTCTCGTTCCACTGCAGCGTCACCGGTAGTCCAAAGCCATTAATTTTCTGGTCGTTCGAAGGCGACCGAGCATTAGTATATCCCGGCTCTCCGTCCGGCAACTTCGAAGCCTTCACCTCAACGGAAGGTCAGTCCACGCTGATTCTCAAAGACGCGCAGGTGCAGCATTCGGGCACCGTGGTGATTTGCTCGGGAGTGAACGCCGCAGGTTCAGTGTCCACCAGAACCCGACTAACTGTTACCTCGAAAGAAGACAGACCGCCTCCGGTGATAACCCGTGGACCCACCAATCAAACGCTTCCGATCCATTCCGTCGCGTATCTAAATTGCGAAGCGTCGGGTAACCCCAAACCCGTAATTTCGTGGTACAAAGAAGGCGTGCCAGTTTCACCATCGAACAAGGTGAACATGAGCAATCCCAGTCAAGTCGAGATTTACAAACTCCACAAGGAAGACTCTGGCGCTTACACGTGCGTCGCTTCTTCGAAAATGGGCAAAGCCACTTGGACCGGACACCTCCTCGTCGAGAATCCTAAAAACCCCAACATAAACTTCTTCAAAGCTCCGGAATCGGTGATGGTGCCCGGGCCGCCTAGCAGACCGCACGCTCTTAACCAATCCGAAGGCAGCGTGACAATAACGTGGGGCCAAAACAACAAAATCGGATCTTCTAGCCTTCTCGGTTATCAAATAGAGCTGTTCGGCAGAGAAGAGGGCGTCACTCCGACTTGGACGGTGGTGGCGAGACGCGTGCCAGGACCGACGTATACCCAGCACTTGTTAACTCCCGGTGTTCCGTATACTTTCATCGTACGAGCGGAAAATTCGCACGGATTAGGTCCCCCGTCCCAGCTGTCGGAGCCGATAATCGTGGGGCCGGATTCGGCTCAGAACTGGGGGAATCCGGAGGTGACGGTGTTGAGCGAAGCCAGAGCTAATTTGGTGACCACCAAGAACATCGTCCGACTTTCCGACGCGCTTCCGATTACTTCCACGTCCGTGAAACTCATATGGACAGTGACTGATTCCACTTACGTGGAGGGACTGTACATTTACTACGTATCTTTGGACGGGTCTCCCGACCAGCCTCGTACTTATAGCATGTTAACGGTGTTGCATACCGGTGGATCATCCAGTTTCACCGTGAATAATCTCGAAAAATGGTCGAGGTATGAGTTTTTCATGGTTCCGTTCTATAAAACCGTCGAAGGACAGCCGTCCAACTCTAGAACAGTGCGTACACTTGAAGATGGTAAGTTACCCTGCAGATATACTTTGTCTCAAAATATATAGTCTCGGGTTTTGACTCACACTCTGGGTCATATATAGCTTAGTGATAGTGTGAAACTTTTGAGAGTTACAATAGACGATGGTTTGAGCTGGGATAAGCATGTGAACTCGTTCTGTAAAACACTGTCATCTAGTTTGTTTCTAGTTCGTAAATTAAAAAAAAAATAGTCCCAATGGAAACATTAATAATTACATAATATTCTCTCTTTCCCGGTACCTGTGCCCTGTGGGATCACTTCACAGCTGATAGGGCTTTTAAACTTCAAAAGAAAGTAGTTAAAGTAATAGCGACTGCAAGTTATCTAGAGTATTGTATTCCATGTTTACATTTGTGGAAGATTTAGCTAGAATTACACCTCCATAGATTTTCTAACTACGATAACCAAACTATGATAAACAAACAAACAAAAATTAAAATTGAAAAGAAAATCATAATGCATTCTGTTGTAAGTGAACCCAAAAGATGAGAAATATTAAAACAAAAAAATTGTATTTTTAACGTATTTTTAAATAGAATCATTTGCACTACCAGCAGCAATTTTTTAACTAGTTTTTAAATATAGCAAGTTTATTTTATCTATTTGTTTTGTAAACCTTGCAGTAAAACTTGGAAAACCTCACTTGTAGCTCTTTAATCAAAAGCTTTGGCCAATATTTTTTGTTATTTTCAAGGAGAATTATGTTTGGAATGAGAGGATTGTTCCTTACCTCTGTATGCGAAAGAACACTCGTAATCATAATTTCCAATTTAAAAATTTTAAAATTAAATAAGCCCAACAAAAAATAACGTAGGTTCTTCATTCCGTCAAACGATTTGTCATTTTTTTTTTGGTTTTTAAAAACAATATTTTATATAGTAGCAGTTAAATATTTTTTACATAAGATTTGCTCATATATGGTTCGTAACATACACGAAAACAGAGGCATTTTAGAGTCTTTTAAAAAAAACTCGAATTGAAACTCGCAAGGCAGATTTACATTATTTTTGTGGTGAAACTTACCTCATGAATGTGGTGTTTTCTAAAAATATCACGAAAATATTATATGCCCGAAAAAAGTTCAATTGTGAGAAAATTCTTCATTGTACGGATCGTTATTAATGTCTAATTAAAATCTAAATATAGTGTTGAATGTTATCTTTATTACTGTTTTACAATTCATTCGAAGGGCATCAAATCACCCCGCAGCTGACATTCGTACGTTTTGACCCTCTTAGCGATTTTCAATTGTTTGGTATTATCACATATCTCATTGAAACTAATTAAAACATTAGGCAGTCGATTAAAACCAAATAAAACAAAAATTTTTTTCGCGGCATTTTCGATAATTATAAATGAATTATTTCTGTCAATCAAAAAGTTTCATTCATTTTTTTAATTCATTTCCACATTTAATTTCTTAATTACATCAATAGTTAATAAAATTAGTTAATTGATTACTGACCCACTTGGTGACTAATTTGTTTTAGGTTAAATGGAAATTACCAAAAACTGTTTTGTTTTAAATTAAATACATATTTTTTATACCCTGTCATGGTGGTCAAAAAAACTTAATTGTTAGTCTTAATATGACATCCATAGAGTTTTATTTATTTTTGAAACACTCTTGACTAACTCAATCTTATAGGATTCAAAAGTATCAGAATTCATGCATTTAGGATATCCAACATTATTAGATAAGTAACGAGATTGATAATATTCGATTTTGGTAAATTTGTTATATAACAAAATTACTTTTCGAACTGACGTGCAAAAATAAACACCAATTTGAAAAAAAATCATTCTCATATAATATGTGTCATAATATTAATGTACTATCATTTGATTTAACTAACTTGTATCTAAATTGGAACCAAAGTAGCGGAACCAAAAATGATTTCTTCAATTTCTTCCAATTCATGATCTTCCTGCCTTAATTAAAGTTGTTTGACGCTGACTATTTTATAAAAATTGAAAAAACTGATTATTAATTTTGAAAAAAGTATGTCTAATAACCACTGCTACAATAGTTTCAATAAGAAGGATGGGTATATCAGATGAAAGCAACATTTATCATATTATTAACAATAAAGAGACAACAGAAGTCGTCGAATAAAGGATAAAGGATGGCAGCTTGCAATTGTGGAAATAAATTATTTCTAGTTAGTTCGAGATATATACATTAGGCATTTAAAACCCAATGCCTGGATCAAAAACACTGCTTCCCTAACAGCTTTAACTGGTCGATTTGTTTTACTTAAAAATGTCAATAAAAATTCATTACACATAAATAAATAAATAAGGCATTTATTCAAAACAGTTGCAGCAAGAGAGGTTATATAGTATTTGGAGGTAGCGATTTACTTATTCAATAATTTTGTTATTGTAATTAAAATCATTAAAATCAATGAAATAATCAAAGCTGAAGAAAACTGTGAAATAACCTATAACCTATAAAAAAATAACAAAAATTGCTCTTGGACTATGGGTTTTACCCATGGTAATATATATTATCCAGAGCAGGGGGTTGAGTGGAATTTTGCTGTAGCTGACGCTTGAAACAGCTTGATGAGCTTAATAATCAAATAGAAAGAACCTTACTTTTTCTCTCGCCAACTTAGAACGCTGTGTTATATCTTTAAGTTAAGTTTAAGCCTGCCAGAATTCTTCTATTAGACTGTTGGATGGCGTGACTAAGCGAAATTTTCCTAGTGCATAGTAGTCAGATATACCTGAGATTTGAAGCCTTTGAAGGCTTTCTTGATCCCTCCTAATTGTAGCTTGCTCGTAAACTATTCCACCATAAGCTATCTGGAAAAATATGACTGTTGTAGCAACTGTTAATCCGACGAGTGTAATTAAACACGAAACCGAACTTAAACAATTTACTATTCAAAATGAAGTGGGTGCCAATATCAAAACGTAATTTAACATGCCACACGTATTAACACTCGCTAACGGCCATCTTGTTGTCTTCCACTGCTGGTCCCCTCTTGTTACTTTTAGTTGGTACCCTGTGGCTCACTATAGCGGGACGTATCTACTTCAATGAGGGCTGTGGTCGACGACTAATTCGTTTATGGGCAAATAGATGGTGGTGAGGGTGTTCATTTGTTACACTGTCACAATAATTTTACGATACGATTTTTGCAACCTATTGTTACATTTTATAGCTAACTAGAATCATTAAAAAATTCCAAATACTTACAATCAATAAATCCGGTAGAAAAATTTAATACAACAGCCAGGATCCTTTTTAGAATCACTCAGTCACAAGTAAAAAGAAAAAAAGCGCCCAAAAATAACCATCTATATCATATGACAGAAAAAAAAAGCTACAAAAAAGAATTTTTTTCATACACTTCAAAGAAGTACCACGAACAATTTCATTCTGTTATCGCAAAGTCTTTGGAATCGAAGCACGTGAGTATTTATGGTTCAAATTCCGAAAATACAATAAACAAACGCCAGTGTATTAGATTTTGGGGTATAGCCTCCACAGCAAAGCTAAAAAACAAAACTTAATTGAACAAAATGAACTAAAAATATATAATCTATGGCATATATAATTAAAATAGACACAGCGTGAAAACCCAACGATGTGCAATATTTGCAATTTTTATTTGTCATTTAAAAACATATTAAAATTTTATTATTAATGATAATTTCATTTCTGCATACAAAAACCACCACTTACTCTTTAAAAGTGTTTAATTTAAACATTTCTATGATTTAGTTCCGAACGAGGCGCCCTCTAACATGGAAGCCTTATTGCTGAACGCGACGGCTGTCTATCTGAAATGGAAAATGCCGCCTCCAGCCTCTGTAAACGGAGAACTTCAGGGGTACAAAGTTGACGTCAGGACGAACGGTTCAGATGTACCAACTGTGATATCTGTGGGGTCGGCTCCGACCCTCCTTCTCAGCAATCTGACGGCTGGTGTTTCGTATTACGTGAAGGTAGCAGCCACCACCAGAGCAGGAACCGGTCCCTACAGCCCTTCGGCAACTTTAAGATTAGATCCTGCAGCTAGAGTCGTCGACAATAACCTGCAAAGGTATAATTTTTGATTATTTTCGTCGTGTTTTAACTAACTGTCTCCATCCTCAGACCTGTTGGTGCGGATGTACATTCCGGCGACTTCATTACTGAAACTTGGTTCATGGCGCTTTTAATAAGCATGGTTTCGGTTATGATTCTTCTGTTTGGAGCAATGTTCTTCGTCCGCCGCAGGCAAATCTTGTCCAAAAAGACTATGACCCCGTCCAGATCAAATGGAGGTGTACTAACCACTCCTCTCGCATCCAAACAAGAAGTGCCTCTATGGTTAGATAAAGATACCCTTCCGGACTATACTACCTCTTTACCGGAATATTCCAAACTAACTCCGCACGAGTATACGCCTGGGAAAAACGAATACGCCACGAACGGAAACCTGCCTCAAAGTAATAATGGAAGCATTAACCTTCACTCAAATCCGCTGCACCAGAAGGAGTACAGCCGACCGGATAATTTAGAGTATAGCTCGGAAAAAGGGTACCCGATGGGTAGGAAGTTTAAGGATTACAGCGCCATGCAGGTTCAAGACTACGCGAGCCCCAATATAGATAATCCTAGAATTTCACAGATGCCCGATTATGCTGAAGTCGATGCCAGTTTGTCTAACAATGACGGAGGCAACACGTCACCCGCTCCTTACGCGACTACCACCCTTGTTGGTGGAAGAAAACTGGTAAGTCATTGGAATAATTTAGTAGGTAAGGTAGCTGCAGGTGTTTGAATGTTTTCAAAGGTGCCCCTCCCTTAAGGCAATTTTTTATCTTCGGGAAGAGATAAAAATCATAAGAACTGACGTCAGGCCAATGAGTCCGAGAAGTCACAGTAGTGTTGTTTCTTGTCAAAAACCCTTTTATTGAAATTGCTGCGTATCAAGGAGCACTATCGTGATATTTGAACTCACACCAATGACCCCTTTTTTGGCCTTGAATTAGAAAATCTTTAACCCTTGGAAAGGCTGAAAGGCTCCATGCTTTGGCACCTGGTTTCTAATCATCAATAATGGCGCCTTCCAGAAAACGGAGATCAATTCCAATCCAATTCAATAAGTCAAGGTACCTTTTGCTCCCTTTGGGCTTGCGAAAGATTTTTTGGTCAGTTAGCGGATTTTTCTCACACCCAGTTCATTGGTCTAAATTTGACGGGCGGTGATGTGAGTCAAACTTTGCTCTTCTAACTGTCTGATCGCACAAATCCCGGATTCTGTGGATATTTCCATTTGTTCTTGGAGATGCAGCCCTTCCACCTTATATTTTACTTCAATAGACTTTCTTTCTTCTGAGAATGCCTTAAACAACAGAAAAATCCTGATACTTTGGTACAAACGTAAAACACAAACACGAATATGTATGACCCTTCCCAGCCTTGTATTGCGCCTTTCTTTCGCTTGAACTGGAAGACTTGATGTGTCTAGAACTCCCAATGTGATAACATTCACTAATAAACCTGCATCACTACTGATCTAACACTACAAGTTGGGCTGCAGAATCCATTACATCGTCTTAACACTGTCTTCTAATTATTATCCTTCTTTTTTCAATGCCCTATTTATTACCACCGGCTCCTACTAACACAAAAAAGAACTTCATTCTACCTCCCCTACCTATAACCGTCGAAACTCAAGAAGTTCTCTGGAGACTCTGCATACTATGGCGTTCAATGCTTCCGGTTCAATTGGTTACTTGAATAGTACCATGTAATCTTGTTCATCACTATTACCCCATGTGGATTTAAAACACCACTTGGTTTTGCTTCTAAACTCGAAGCCACTGTGGTGCGTTTTCTGAAGAGCTGTTTAATACAGATTGAATCGAAAAAAGATGCAACAAAAAAATTGATTTTAATGACCGGGTTTAATGTATCCGTGACCGTGTCAATATTGCTAAAGCTAGATGGACTTCATATCTAGTACGATGCATGAGGCGTTTTTGGTCTTGGATAAAATGTTAAGTTTGAGATATCTGGATTCAGGTGTATGGGTAGATCGCTTTCGAATATAGTAGAGTAATCTTTTGAGATATAATATTGGGTTGTTCGGAAAGTCATTTCGTTTTTTTTGGGGAACATGAAAGACAGTTTTCGTATAATGAATAAATATTTTATTAAATTATATATTGGCCGTTCTGGTCCAACACCTTTTGCCATCTTTCTGGCAGTAACATAATTCCCCTCTCATAAAAGTTTTGGTCCTTGCTGGCAAAAAACTGGTTCAGGTGGTTTTTGACATCTTTATTTGAGGTAAAGGTTTTGCCATCCAGAAAATTTTGCAGGGACCGGAACAAATAGTAGTCGGAAGGCGCCAGATCTGGAGAATATGGTGGATGTTGCAGTACGTCCCATTCAAGCTGTAAAAGTTTTTGGCGAGTGACCAAACTTGTGTGAGGTCTCGCATTATCGTGGTGGAACACTACACCCTTCCTGTTGATTAATTCGGGCCTCTTCTCTTTAAGTGAATCATTCAATTTGTCCAGTTGATGACAATAGACTTCTGAATTAATCGTTGTATTGTCCGGCAAAAGCTCAAAAAAAACGATTCCTTTGACATCCCACCAAACGGAGAGCATCACCTTTTTTGGTGAATGTTGGCTTTTGACACGCTTTGAGCCGGTTCATCTTTTCTGCTCCATGACCTCTTGCGTTTAACAATGTTGTATACAACCCATTTTTCGTCCCCAGTAATAATCCGCTTCAAAAATGGATCATTTTCTTGACGTTTGAGGAGCGAATCACACACGTCAACGCGACGACCCAAATTTCGCTCCGTAAGGACATGGGGCACCCACACATCGAGCTTCGAGGTTAAGCCCATGCCTTTCAAATGGCCATAAACAGTCGAATTCGACAAATTTAATCTCTCACCGATCTCTCGTGTGGTTATTCGCCGATATGCATCAACTAATGCCTTTATCGCATCTTTGTCAGCTTCGACCGGCCTTCCAGACCGTGGTGCATCTTCGACATCAAAATTGCCGGATCGAAATTTTGCATACCAGTTCTGGCACTGGCGTACTGTTAACACGCCTTCTCCATACACATCCGTCAATTTTTTTCTCGTTTGGACAGCATTTTTACCTTTTCTGAAGTAAAAAATAAAATATGACGAAAATGCTGCTTATTGCTCTCCATATTTGAAAGGGCACCAACCAAAAACTACTGCGTAGAATTAATAGAACTTTTTCACACACAAGCCTTGCAATATCAGCTCTCAAGGCATATAATGGTTATGCAGCTTAAGTGTGAAGTTGGTTTCGAAAAAACGTAATTAAGTCCTCTGACGGGAAAAAACGAAATGACTTTCCGAACAACCTTATATATAAGTAATATAATGTATAAGTATATATAAAGATATAATTTTCAATTTGAATTAAAACAGATAATGACCCCCGTTGCTAGGTGGCAACCTAATTTATAAACGGCGAATTGAATATCGGGAAGGTTGAGCGCTTACTGAGTATGTCACTATGTAGTGATAATTCACAACTGGCTTGCTTAAAGGTGTGTAAGCCAAATATTAAATCGATTAGATAAGCAAAATGTTTTTCTTACGTGCTAATTGTAGTAATCCACATTCGACACGTGTCAACTGAGAGCTACTTTTCTTTGTTAACAAATCCTTTATTTTCCATAATCTGATTTCGGTTTCATTTTAAATCGGCAAGGTGATATGATGAAAAGATTCCATTTCAATTATAATTGAAAAAAATATATATTGAAATGAAATATTGAAAAATATTTATAACATAGTCAAAACTGATCATAGAAAACAGAAGAACTCTTCAATATTTTCAGCACTCCAGGTATCTTGGCAGGGAAGGGTCACAATTAAAAAATCGCCTACTTAGTACATTTGGGCGCAAAATTTAAAGTTAATCAGGAAAACTTTGAAGATAAGTCGAAAAAGCAGAATAGGTACAAAAATTGACGTTTAATATAAAAAGTATTTGAAAACCATTGGTTCAACTTATCCTGGCTTTGCCCAGGTCCAGGGGCAATTTTTTGTTATTAAACCAAAATAAACCACAAGCGGGTGTGAAACATCGAATGACAATGGCAGAGTAGGTTCTCTAAATATGGACTACTGTAAGGACTTTTTTTAAATAAAAGTAAAGAAAGAATGAGAGTTAGTTTTTTATTCCAGTCACTAACCAAAACTTAACGAAATGAATAAAAATTAATTTTCAGAGAAATATTAAAACATTTTTTAAAAAGGTATGGTAATACGGATGACTAGTATTTAATATGGACCGAAATGATCAAATAAAATATTCTGCTTTTGTAAAACCTACTGTAATAACAATCATAACATAAATCAAAACTTATTTTTGGCTTATAACATTGACGGCTACTATAAAACTCGCCAGTTATTATTTATATAATATATTTTCTCCGCCAGTTATTTGTTTTCTCTTCTTAGGTGACTTTATCTCCAAAATTTCTTTTCCTCTTTTATTTCTTTTGGGATTTATTTCTTTTTCCTCTTAAAGGAATTATAATTATAGTTTGTAAGGCGAAGATGTCAAAAAAGCAGCCTTACTAGCTTTTCTTTCCCTGTTGAAGCAGTTGAAGGACTTGGAAGTAGATTTGGAATAAACATCTTGATTTGTCTGATTTTGTTTGGTACTACTGTTGCTGTACCTTCAATAAAATCATGAGCATCAAAAAGATGTGTGTGGATTAAGCAGATAAACCACTGTTGTTCGCAAGCCACTGAATTCTGCACACTGATTTTGAACATATGGACTTCCAAAAAAAAACTTGCTATGTCGTAATGAGGGATAGCTATAGCATTAACTAGCATCCATACACGGATTTCATCAGCCATATATTTTTTTAAAGGGCCCATTTTAGGGCTGGAGTGTGGCGGCGGTATTGACAGTAAGCGAACATTCTTTTTTTGTGCCAAATCAATTACGGGATATTACGGGTACGATTTGTGTGCTTCATCTAATATCAGAAGCGCAGGAGAAGTAGATAAAGGTTTGACAATTTCTAAAAAGTGTTTAAACCATTCAGCGAAAAGCTCTGTCTGTATCCAACCTGATGGATGCCAAGCGTGTATTGATCCAGCTGAAGCACCATTCATTATCAGTTGATGATCTTACTATCAAGGAAATATCATCATTGTAGGAACAAACGACCCACCTGCATTCTTAAAAATTATGCACGTCACTTGTTTAACTCCGTTCCGCAGAAGTGACTGCAGGTAGAGGTAAAATTTGTGGCATCTGATTAGGTAACACCGACATCCCGGTTTCAGCGATATTGTAAATATTCATTCAGGCAGATTAAAACCTTTTAATCACGAAATCGAGGTTCGTGTTGTATGGCGAAAGGATAAAGGGTTGCTTAAATTGATACGTACTGGCACTTGATAAGCAATTAACTTAATGGTGCGTCTACTCAAACCATACTCAGTTTGCTCCAGTAAGAATGTAATTTACCAACTTTGCTTCAACATCTTCTGGTAAAACGGCTCTCCGTGCAAGTTGCCCTAGAAGTAAATCTCTGTTTTTAGATAAACGAATGAATGACAATTTTGAAACATTAAAGGATCTTGCAGCTTTTAGATGCCCCATTCTATTCTCTTTAACGCCAAGAATAGCATTTTTCGTTGCTTCCCTATCCCAAGTTTGTTTAGAGGAAACTTTTTGCTTTTGCGATGAAGGTGTATTCTAAAATAAAAATACGGCTATTAATATGGACCACTTGGAAACTGATAAACTGATTAAATTAAAAAACAAGGCAATAATTTTCATAAATATTTAAAATCCTAATAAAGCGAAGATAAAAATCACTTACTTAGACTTACCGATAAAATCACAAAATGGTCGCCACCGAGTAAACCTGCTTAAGAACTACCGACGTTATGCAGGTGCAGAGACCAGATTTCGTTAAGTTCCTTGTTGTCATTGAAAAAAATCAGGGTTGTCTATGTCATCCACTTAGTCCATATTTAGAGAACCTACTCTGATGCCAGTGACCAACAACAGCACTGCAAGACCAACTGCATATATAAAAGTCACTACTCTAGAACTGCTCATATATTATCCACCATCTGTCGCCATACAGAATGTTATTATACTGGTCATGACCCATACGAGTACCCACATCACGCAACTAACCCAGTGAAAACTGCATCTCAATATGTTAATTCTAACCTAGAATATGGTTAAAAGAACTTAAAACTCAAAAAAATTTGAATTTGTAGAAGCCTTTACATTTTATAGGTTGGCGACTAGCTAGTTCTATTAACTATTGACACATTTAGGTTATAGAATTCTATTCTTCTTCATTCCTACCGCCGGTTGGTTTCTTTTTCTTTTTCTTCTGTGTAAATGAGATATGTTTGGGGTGTGTTTTAGACATAAAAGGCCATAGGTTTAGGTTTGGGTTTATTTCAGTATAATATATTTGTAGCAGGTCAAAACAGAATAAAAAATCCATATAAGGATAACAAAGCAATATAAGAATAAAAATATAAAACACCACATACACAGTACTGTGAAAACATTTTATTTTTAGTAGACGCTTGACAGCTCTCTTAAAAAAATTGTTACCAAGGCGTTTTATATGACAAGATAATTAATTGTAAAAGCTGAGGTTTAAAGAATTTGTAATTGTTTATTAAGACGTTATCATTATTATATTATAATATATTATGCATTACGCGTTGTGTAGTAATGTGTTTCAAACTGAACAGAATAACTTGATTTATTAGATTGAATATTCATTGGGCTATTGTATACGAAAGTGAAATGTAAAGTCTAGAAGAATTACAGGAATTTTTTTTAAGACGAAATCCTGACTGCATAACTAGATCCATCCCATACGCTCGTATCTTTCGAATACTAACATTAGAGAAAAGTAAAACATTTTATTTGGGTTCAAAAGCAAGTCATTTTCTGCAAACCAATTTCGCTTCCGCTCCTTAGCAATATGACTCGTCTAGAGACGAACTTTAGCAGTGTACACTGGATGGGCTTAATAAATTATGGAAGATAATTTATATAAGCGGGCCCAAAACCGATCCTTGCGGAACACCGTGATGCTGGGCTAAAAAAGAAGAGGTACAACCATCTACGCTTACTCTTTGATGACGATCAGTAAAATACGATTCGAAGCAAGATATGACGGACTCTGATAAACCAATAGTAGACAACTTTTTCAATAACAAGCTATGTGTCCTAAACAATCGCACTCATCGTTTTTATAGTTCACTTTCTGTATAAAAAAACCACTGGTCATTAGCAAAAAATTAAATTTTTTGCAAGTAGTAGTCTAACAGGAACTCCTTTCATTATAATTTCAAAATTGCCAAAAATAGGCAATATTGAAATAGGACGGCAGTTGTTTACATCATATTTACTGCCTTTTTTGAAATGTTGAATCACTTCTGCATACTGGAGACTAAGCAGGCGATAAGCAGAAGATATCTAAGCAAGACAAATTTTTTAAAGTTAAAATGATGGAAATTTTTGTCACAATAACTGTGATTGTTATTTAAATTTAGAAGGTCAATTGAGTTTAGATCTGAAAAAGAAATATTATACATTATATTATCTGAAATGCTAGTAATTTACTAATATAAAATCATTGCAGCCGCTTGACTTTATCTATTTATTCAAAAATTTATTATTCAAAAATTATTAGTCTTCAAGAATCCTTGCTTTCGATATATGAGTTAAAAATCAAATTATTGAATGCTAGTTTTTTATTGCAATGCTTTCTCGTTCGTGTTCCCTTAAATATTTTTATTGTTGATTTACCGGGGGCCTTCATTTAGTACTTGTATTAATCTGTATATTTTTGATTGCCGTAGATATGGAACCATTATTCGATGAACGACGGCGATGAATCTCCTTATCCGGCATCCAACGGCGGATACTACAATCGCAAAGTATACTCGGACTCGTATTTCGCTCCTACCCACACCTTGAAACGCAGCAAGAAGGATCAGAAGAAGTTTTCCCAGGAACACCCGCCAGATTTGGTATCGCCGTCTGGCCAGCCGGCGTACGCCCGGGTAGGACCTCCGAGCCTGTCCTGGAGGAACGGCGCGCCATCTTTAAGCAGCTTCACTCCTCACAAGTCGGTTTACCACGGATCCAGCCGCAGCGAGCCTGGCAACATGTTGTAGGAACTAGAACGTGATACGAAGTATTTACTAAGTTATTCAGACTTTTGTGATTAGGTTTTCCTCTCTAATAGTGATTAAATGTTTGTTGAGAAACGGGGTTGAAGTTCCGATACAATAAACAAAATGTGGGTAAAAATTGTCAGGACATAAATACCGCTTCAGTGTTGAAACTAAAAGAACTTTGAACTTCAATTACCTTTAGTTTTACTTAATTACAAAAGGCATCCTCGAGGCCCAAGGAATGACTGGAATAATCCGTAATTATTGATAGATTCCTTGAATGAGTTATAAACCATTTCAGATATTTTCAGTGCAAAATATTCCAAAATTCATAAAAGTTAAAAATGAACTCCCAAACTTATCTATAAGATTTTTTCATTATTAATTGTAATCTATATAAGCATCTAAATACTTTAAAGCTTTTCCTCCAGTTATATTGATGTCGAGTTAATTCCTTTACGTCTGGCCAATTTTTTAAATTCATAATTCGGAATAATAATGATGATAATGAATTTACTTCGTTTTAATAGATTAATAATTTAACAAATGTCTCTTGGTTATTGTAAAGTTTTTAAAACATTCTTGGTGTCTAAGGAACTAATCACTAACTAATCAACTCTCTAAGTTTGCTACCTGATTGTGCCATTTTAAGTGTTCACATATAAAAATCATCTATATAGAGTTGATTCCTCTACATCTTGCAATGTTTTTTAAATCGGAATTTAGAATAATATTGAAAATAATGAATTTAATTAACTTTAAATAACTAATAATTAATAATTATCATTAATAATTTGACAAATACACAATGCTTAATCTAAAAGGCATCCTCAATGCCTCAAAAATGACTTTAATACTGCCCTAAGCCATAATTATTAATAGATCCACGAGTTGTAGATTTTAGATACTTTCGGTGCAAGTTCATAAATTGACTATCCAACTTTGCTACCTAATTTTTCCACTTAAAATTTATATCTGTATAATCAACAAAATATTTTAAACATTTTCCTTTCTCGATTTTATTTTCTAACGCACAATTTTGCTTCGAAATTTTGCAGTTATAATGATGTAGAGTTTATTGCTCGATATCTGGCTAATTATTTGAATTCAGAATTCAATTAATAAAAAATAAATAAAATTGAAAAATGCGTCATGGTTATTCTAAAATTTTTATGTCTAGAGAATGACTGTGAATACTGCCGCCAACCATAATTATTAAAATATTCCACCCAGGAGTTATAAATGATTTTCTTAGAGAGTTTAAAAAATTATAGATTTCTATTTAAAATAAGCTGACACTGGCTTGTCGTATAAGTATAATAAGTTCTACCACCTTAAAATTTACGGGGATGGACCAACAATTTTGTTGTGGGGCGCATGTAAAGAAGCATACACCTAAAAGCATTTTTATATTTATTTCAATTTTTGGAAACTTGGAGTAAATATTTTTTTTAATCTGCAGAGAAAAAAATAAATTAAATATTAAAAAGCAATCAGATTTATTTAATAAAATTTATTATTTAATTACTTATATTAAATACTTATATGAAATCTGGTGATGTTGATGATGACGGCTTTCACCACGGTGATATACCTGTAAGGCTGAATAATTAAGTAAAGATAAAGGCAATGGCAGTCTACCTCATACCGTAATAACACCTTTATTGCCATAATATTGTCCATTTTCTGCGTAGTATCATTAGACCGAATTTAGATTCTGAATTGAAAACCAAAAGTTTGAAAAAAACTGTCGTAGCGATGTTTAGCTTACAGGATTCAGATTCGATTATTGCCTCAATTTTCCCGTAAGGAAATTTTTAATTTTGCAATAAATGCAATTTGGATATATTTTTTCTTTTACAGATTTTGGACAGGATAATTTCAAATTTAGCCTAACTGGGATCTCAGAAACTACAACATACATATATAACCTACAGAACATTAACATATTTAAGTCGGGATCAAAACTTTCAACAGTTCCTTAAGTATGGAATTCATATTTTTTTTAAATAATAAGTAATTCCTGAGATATCAGAAGAAAAACGCCCTCAAAACCACAACCATATTTTCCGTCGCTACTTTTTTTTCAGCTACACGACATTATTTCGCCTTTTGCCCATCAACTTAAATTTTTAAACGGGCTGATAGCATTTAATATTATTTTACGGTTTTTAAATCATAAATATTGAAAAATAATAACTTCACCTTAGTCGATCACGAAACATCAAATTTCACTTTTTCCGTTCTTTACATGAATGAATAGTTTCCCCACTGACAGCTGTTTTATAGTCTCGCTTGACTAATTTTTGAGATCCCAATGGTAGGCATCTGATTGGAACTACCCTGTATACAGACAAGAAGATAACTAGGCTAAAAAATGATTTTTTCTAAAAAAAATTGCATTGTTAACGGTACAAAAAAAATGAAAACAAAAGATTTTCTAAAGAGTAAAGTTGTCTTTTTTACACCTTAAACGCAAAATGGTACATACAAAAGTTATAAAATTATGTCCAATTATCTTTTTGTTTTTTTATCAATATGAGTCATTTTGGATTATAAATATTCACCGTTCTAAAGTCACATTTCGAATTTCAGTATTTTGGGAATGCCAAACTTATTTTGAAATCGGGCAAAAACTTTTATAAAGAATGAGTTTCCTCCATATCCTCCACATCTTAGTTTATTTGCTCTGTTGCTAAACAGAGCAAATAAACTTGGACTACTTATTCAAATAATTGGTATTCGAAGTACTGCAGTTCTGCTGCCAAATTTTTACTCATACCTGAGTATATTTCAAATGATGAAATCAATACCCTTTAAGATACTTCAGCCCCAGTTTACCTATTGTTGATAGTATTTCCATACCTAGCTAGACTAACTGATAAATATTTTCTATAAACCACTCGCTTTTAAATAAACAAAAGCGGTTCATAATATACGTAAAATGGCACAAAAACGATAGCATATTGTTATCAATTGAATAACCTGTAATTGCAAACAGAAATAGAACTGCCGCATTACTAATATCGCGCAAAAACAGTAGGCAATTATGGGAGGCAAAAACTACCTGAAAATTATCATTACGTGTATTTAGGGCTTTTGTATTAGTAGATATATTCGATGATAAATTTTAACCACACGCATCCATAGTCGTTTAAGTAATACTTAAGCACCACAATAGACCACCATACGTTCGGATCAGCCAGCTATCTCAAGTTTAATTAAAACTTCGCAGCAGTAAAATCCTATTTTTAGAGAAAAAAACTGTATATCTTCTAAAAATAGCTGTTAAACTATAAGGTCGTATTGTATATCCTCTAGTTGTAGGCCAAGACTGATAGAATCGATACTGTGCCATTTGCTACGTTGTTTTTTTAAATTCACATATTTTTGGTAGTCTCCTTTATAAAAGTAAGGTTTTAAATATCGGGTAATCTTGAACGGAGATTTCTGACTTTTTATTTTACGGTTTAAAAATGTAATTTTTTATCAACAAAAAAACACGTGATATTCATATATCGATATTTAAGCTAAATAAATTTTACATTAGACGAAATTGTAAAATCTCACATATCAGATAAGTTCTCTCATTAAATGATAATGGCAAATGAACTACAGCTGTACTTATAATCTTTATTTCATAATTAGGATAACTCCAAACTGATACAGTTTTAAGCTGTATTATTATTTTTCAGGACTTGTATATTGATAGTCCCTACTTATAGGATAGGTATGAGCGTACCCCTAAAGCGAATTGTAAAATATTGTATAAACTTTACGCCTAATTATACTGAGTAGACTTCGAATGTAAATTTTGTATGGACTTAATTACATTGATTTGCCCTGTATCTTTTAAGTCTTCCTTTGGACATGGTAATTTAAATCGTAGGTACCGTTGTGCTCATATTTTTATAAATAATGTGCCATCGACTATGTTAAACAGTGTATGTACAGTATTTAACAATAAAAAGTAAGATTTCTAAAACTGGAAGTGTATTATTCGCGTCCAAAACTGTTCGAGAGAACAAAAAAAAAATCAGGTAGCAGGGATCTGACAGAAATTGACAGTCGGATCGATCTTGTGATATCTCTAACAGCCTTAGACCACCCAGTGTAATTCGCTTACCATTTCAACAAGACATTAAGACAAAGAGAGATTCAGTCATAAAAATAATGTCAAGTTAATAATTTTTTTGTAATAATTTTCTTTGGATTTTTTAATTCACCTAAAACTCTCGCAAGAAAATTAAGCCCAAATTGTTTTAAAAAATATAAGAGACATAGTCTCTACAAGTATTTTAAAACTATATGCAAAAATATTTAACTTACAACTCTTGTATACAACATTTTGACTTTTCTTTGTCTCTATATACAATCTTTGGTAATGTTTACAAACAATCAAAACTAAAATATTATTAAGAGATGCTTAACCTACTTCGGTAATATTTCATTGGGCCTGGCGAAGTTGCTCGACAATACGTATTTAGGTATAACGTTTAAAGCCCGCTACTCACTATGCGAAAATGCGATTCGTAAGGCATTTCGTTAAAAAACGCGCATTGATGCCTCTTACTTACAATGCGTTGATGCATTTCAATAATGAGATTCGAAATTCGTCCATGGTGCACCCAGTCAGTCAGTGTTGCAATACATTCCCAGCTTCTGCTGGCTGCAGCACACTCGTGTTATCTAGTGATTTTGTAAAATAAGAAAAATAAGAGAATAAGAAGATGGTGAAAGCAGTCTCTATACAGAAACAGATCTCGGTAAGAACTAGTTTTATTATTTAAGCCATGTTACTAAACTAGATCATTGGGTTTTTGCGTCCTTAACTATAAATTGATAACAATAACGGGAATAAGACAAACAAAAACTTATATTTTTTCAAACGGGTCTCTAACCACAGACTGTCCAGAACTCGCAGGCTTATTGAAAATGTCTTTGGAATAATGGCATCGGTATTTCGCCTTTTCAGAACACCTATTATGCTCAATCCGGGAAGAGCAAATGTAAAAGTAAAAAACATGTGTACTTTTGCATATTTTTTTGCGGAGAAGTAGACGGAAATAGTGTTGCTGGATCATGGAGAAGTGATAATGAGGTAATGACATTATTTGAATTTGCAAACTATTTTTCGACAACAGGCCAAGTTTCGTGGCCAATATGGAAATGACACCACACCAATGCATAGGATTTTTCCTAAATAATATTTTTAGAAAATATTGTGCATTTATTACTGTGACGTTTTAAGTATTTTACAGCACCTTAACAGCAGACCTTCGCAGGACCGTGGTAAACCCATCCCAACAGGCATTTATTCTGCATTAAGTAGGTCTTTACCCGAGATGGACCGTAACGCATATTTGTAGAAACATGAGATTTTTATTTGAATTTATTTTATTTTATTAAGCATTGATGCTGCGGGGTATTTTCGAATAAGTAGAAGCGTTTATTTTAACTTTAGGTGATATGTATTGTTCTTAAAAGTTCAATCTAAATTGCAATATGTGCGTATACATTGCAGAGGTATTTTATGTACACCAATTTATTTTTAATGAATAATCATTAAGTATTTTTGTCATAACGAAAGAGCAGGCCATTAGCGAGGTGACACGTTTTGCATCTAAACCTAAAACAAGTATCCAGAGTACCAAAGATTATTAAGATTAATAGGACAAAACTTAATATTAATATCACCAGAAATCACAGATAACAGATATATCTTGTCATGGCATCACATCTGGAACTGAATTTAGGTTGGTGCTAAGGACAGAACACACATAGTACCTATTTCAATCAGTAGTGCTGATTATTCCGATAGTACAATGGATACTAATGGCAGAGACACACGAAGTATCCTGTCGCAAATTACTGTACTGGCACTGAAGGGCAGCAACACGCAGCAGTGCAATATACAACAGGTCATAATATACTGAAGGGCAGAACACACATGGTACCTATTTGAATCACTAGTGCTGATTGTTCCGATAGCGCAATGGATACTAATGGCAGAGACACACAAAGTATCCTGTCGCATACATTTGTATGTATGGAAGGTTACACAAATCGACATGAGATTGTTTCACAGCAATAACTAAATATTTATTATATGTATTGTGCTACTAACTATCAGTGTGCATAATAGGTTCTCCTCTGCACTTTATTCTTTGTAATGGTAATAATAATTATTATTATTATTTTCAAGTCTTTGCTCTAACATTTATAATGCGATCTTGTAGTTTGATTCTGTGACTTTTATTGATTAGGTCATTCGAGGGACCTCACCTTCAAGGTGCGCGCGTAAACAGTAGAATTTTTGTAGCGTATCCAATTTTCTGGTCATGGTATACTAGTAGAATACCCTTTATATGATAATAAACCTAAATTAAATAAGTACTGTCTTCTTGTACTTACCAATGTATCGAATGTTCGTTTCGGAGTGTATATCCCGCGAAGGAAAGCATCTAAGAGCGAATATAGAGGCGAGGTGGGGGTATATATATCGTCGAAACCTGCTCCGGATTTTTGACTACAGGCTACCTTTCTCCTATAGTTTCGATAGGTTTGTCCTGTTTAATTCGCCGTTATTGAAACCCATTTCTTTAGTAATATTTTTAAAAGTATCATAAGCAGATTCCATAAGCACGGATGTAACTATGTTTTTTAACAAATTTAAAACTAGTAACGCCTTTCCATTCCATTTTGAATAAAAATCGAAAGATGATGCGGTGCACTATGCAAAAATTCATGCATCATTGTATTAAATCGACGCCTCAACACATAGTGAGTAGCGGACTTAAATTACATTTCATTACAATACATTACAATTAAAACAATTTATAATAAAAGCTAAGTATTCAATAGGTCATTTATATCAGACAATCAGACAGGACGATCTCCATCGGTGTTCACGAATATCTCAGTAAAAAAGTACAAGGACGCTGATGTGACAGAGACTACTACTACTTAAGCCACGCATCTTCTTTTCTGTTTTTGTTGTCAAGTTTTTTACAAAAAGTAAAAAACTTGATCCGTTGAAGCAATTGATTGATTGCGTTAATGATGTTTTCAGTTTGGAGGCGACATTGATTTTCATTAATATAGCATTGTAGGAGTTTTTATTTCTCTTAATTATAACATTTTTACTTCGATATACGAATAGAACAGAATGTCAAAGTATTAATTCGATGATCTCTAGAACAGAATTGCCGCCTTAGGAAGAAAAATCACTACACTTAGCGAAGTTGTTGGTCCACAAGCAAAACTCATGGTCTGCTCAAGGTAATCATTATGGCCTAAATTTAAATATTATGTATTTTCTCCATCGTTTTACTGCAAAAGCTCTTGTAAAAAACCTACATAATAATGTTGTTTTACAACAGTAAATAAGACCAAATGGATGATGATGTTGGCGTTTGCCTGGATGTTGCGTTATTATTATTAACTGTTTGTAAGCGTGCCCACTTGCTGTGGAACACTGGATGTTGCCCTTGCCAACTCTGCGCACCGAATGAAACGTGGTTTCTGTTTACTTGCCGGTCGCCTACAGAACGTCAATACAAAGCGAAAAAGATAAATGATTGCCGACCGCATTTGGAACTACGGATTTAATGAGCAGTGCTAGTATAACTGTGAAAATATAGGAAAAGAAGTTGTTAATTGCCTTGGAGTGTAAAATATCTCTAGAAGTGGTAGAATGTTTAGGAGTACATACAGCTCTCCAGCTCTTGCAGATAACATTTCTTTTTACCTTTAATTAGGGCTCTGTTTAGTAGGTTTATAATTTTTTTAACATTGTCGGTGAACTATGGAGCTTAAGGTTTTGTTATACGTGAGTTTTTTTATACGTGATGCTTGTCAAGTATCTTTCAAATTTTATCTGTTTGAAATCTTATCCACAATTTTATTGATCTTATATATAGCCCAGTTTATCAACCGAAGATCCACTGAGAATTTCTGATTTTTAATTGTTTGAAGTTTCTCTGTGTGACAAACCAAGTGCATGTCTTATCAACATATAATTTAACCGTGCCAGTCCAACTTTTCCTACTTAAAATTACCGATATGTTTAGCACATAGTTCAACCTTTTTTCCATAACAAAATACCAAAAAAAAGCAATTATTCCCTTAATTTAAATACAGAAAGAAATCGGAGAGGTGTTTGTAAGATTTCTTTTATTGGAAACCTCATCTCTTCTTTTTAAGTTTTGATTTGGTCCATGAATTTCGGGATACCTGGTATAATTAGAATTATTATTGGTTGACTAGGGACACGGTATAAGTGTTCTGTGAATTCGATCTAAATAATAATCTTCCAGAAAATGGGCGAAGATGCTATAATTATACACAAATTATTACAAGACGGACTTGAAAATGCGGCAACAGTGCGTGATTTATATTTTCTAGCAAATTCTCATTCAATTTGGCAATTTCCTATTTCAACTTGACATTCATGATGTTTTTTTCACAGAGCATCTATAGATCCGGATTTGGATGAGTTAATAATACATTGTCATGAAAGAAAGGAGTGGCTGATGTTTGAATCCGAAAGGAAATACACATCCGAACTGCAAGATTGAACAAGGAGAAACAGACTTATAGAAAGATGTGGGGTAAATCAAGACAAACCAACATAACTAGTAATACATTGTTTCATTTTATATAGGTATAGAATTTTTGCAAAATAATTTTAATTTTATTATGCATAGACCTTATATAAAGCGCTTTTCACTTCTTGATCTCGCGCACCCTGTATGAAGGACGAAAACTGTAAATACGAAAATTGCAGACCAGGACACAGCTTACAATACTAAAGTATCCCATCGTTTACAATTTTTTATTTACGGCGAATATTTTACCCACGAAAAGGGGAATTTTCAAGGCCTCTTACATTTTTTGTCCATTACAAACACACATCCTGTATATATAAAACATGAACTTTTCCATTAGAGATAACTGGTTTTCGAGAAAATATTTTTTATTCTGAAACCATGAAGTACGTCGTAATAGCTAATGACGTCATCGCGTCTAGATTGAGCGCGAGAAATAGCGATTTCACATGGATTTTTTGATTTTTAATTCACAGTTAAAAAATCTTAATATTATTAATAATGTATGCTTAAAATAAAAGTTGTAATAGTTTTCAAGAAAATAATTTTGTTCTGGAAGACAAAATAATCCAAAAAAACTTTTTATTGCGCCAAACTTGTAATATTTGGTGATTTTGGCACGGACTTCTACTTCCCTGACGAATCTAAAGACGATAGCCGCAAATTCTAGACACCAAATGCATGTTTTTGTATAGCACGCAATATCAAATATATACATATACACATATATTAATGGAAAATCCAATACATGTACAAGAAACTGACAATTGAAACTTAGTCTTCTAATTATGGCTAATTTTCATTAAAAGAAAAACCCGTTTTTTATATGTTTGGACATTACCGACGCACCCTGTACATTAAACAAATCATTAAGAAAAAGATGTTTGACCCAGATAATTTTTCAAGAAATGATTTTTTTTCTTCGACCTTTGGAAATGTGGTTTTTAAA